CTGGACATGGGTCGCGTCAAGGGTCGCGCCGCATCCGGATTTAAATCCAAATTGCATAGTCGCGCCGAAAGTTTGAGTCTGGAAAGTCTGGATATGAGGTCTGGAAAGTCTGGACATGGATCACGTCAAGGGTCGCGCCGCATCCGGATTTAGATCCAAATTGCATAGTCGTGCCGCGAGTTTGTGTCTGGAATGTCTGGACATGAGTCGCGCCGTGGGCCGAAAAGTCTATACATACCAAAACTTGGTCGCGAAAGTCTGGTCATGAGTCGCGCCAAGGGTCGCGCCACATCCGGGTTTAGACCCAAATTGCATAGTCGCACCGAGAGTTTGAATCTAGAAAGTCTGGACATACCAAAACTTGGTCGCGAAAATCTGGACATGGGTCGCGAAAGTCTGTGTCCAGTTTTTTGCGACCCATGTCCAGATTTTCGCGACCAAATTTTGGTATGTCCAGACTTTCGCGACCCATGTCCAGACTTTCGCGACAAATTTTTGGTATGTCCAGACTTTCGCGGCCCAGATTTTCCAGACTCAAACTCTCGGCGCGACTATGCAGTTTGGATCTAAATCTGGATGCAGCGCGACCCTCAAATTCTGGACATGAGTCTGGGACCTCGACCCGGCTACCTCCCAGCATTTGTTTGCCAGCTGCTGTGTGTGACCCATTGCGAGTGTATGTAACGCAGCATAGAAGAGGCAGCCTGATCTCATGGTTGTCCCTGCAAGTTCTAGCTTAGGTAAGCTCCAATCTTCAAATGTTTTTCTTTGAGGCACTGCATATATTTCGGCAAAAGTCTAAGAAGGGCTGAAGGTAAAAAACAAAAATGAGTTCAGGTACTAGTTTACTTGATTGGTCACGTGAAAAAACTAGTTAAGATGCTTGGTCCCACCTGTTTTCTGTAAAGAAGAACTAGCACGGGATTTGAACATACATCTTTGGGATGGTAATTGGAATCGTACCCGCTAGGCTAAATATGACCATTTTAACAGCAAAATGGAGAAATAGAAATACTTACTGGTAGAATTAGCCACATATTGTACTCGGTTTTTATTAATGACCACAGCATTTTTTTGGTACCAGACAAGTAAACAAGTACCAAGTTCAGAACGGCAAACTTGTGCGGGGGCACATTTCATGTACTTTGGATATTTCTATCATAGAATTTTAAAATTAAGTCTGATGATGGACAAACTTAAGCGAAAAGTTAAACAAAATTATGTTCATCGATTTTTAAAAACTGCAGCGATTGGTCTTTATTCCCCAAACGGAGAATTTTCAAGGTTGAACGTATGAAACTAAAAAATTTAGGTTCATTTTTGACTGCTTCAATTTTTCACTGCAATTTTTTTTACTCTTACCCATTATATAGTGCTGATTAAAATTATCCAAATACAAATAAATATGTAATTTGAAACGCGTTTTTCTCAAATTAAGTTGTAAAATTAGCTTACAATTTTAGCAGATTTATTATGAAGTAAATTGTTTTTTCCAAATTCTAGCCTAAATTTTATTCCCAAAAACAACACTTTTCGGCTTTTTTAGCTAATTGAAAACTACGCTAAAACTACCCAATCGATCACTGACATAGTTATATTGAAGAGAGCTTCTTAAAGAGCACAAAATTTTTGAGAAGTGTTTTTTAACCCAGTGTAGGCCAGAAAAAGTAAGCAAACCGTTTTAAAATTGTGCTTAAATAAAATTTGGTATTTTTTATAGTAAAAACGACCTTTATTGTCTATCAAACAACAATAAATTAAACTATACAATCATTTGGAGCGTATACTCTTCTTAAAGTTTGTTGGGCTAGGTATGAGGCTTTCTTTGATTGAGTTATGTCAGTGATCGATTGGGTAGTTTTCGCGTAATTTTGAATTGACTAAAAAAATACTTAACAATTTTGGGGTTAAATATTTTGCCCCAACTTCGAAAAACAAATTGCTACATAATTGATGTGCTAAACTTTTGATTTCATCATTTTTTTGTCTAAAGTCAACTCAATTTGAGAAAAACGCGTTTAAAGTTTCAAGTTTATTGCGTGCTGTCCTGATAATTCAAATTGGCACTGAAGCACTTGCATATTCGATCAAAAAAGAATAAATATCAGAGGCGCTCGTTACGGTTCAGAGATATACCCCATGACCACCAAAAGGCTCCCATTCTCCAATTTTGGCCTTATTTGCACATACTTATTTTCATTTTTTTTGGCTAGCTGAACCTATCATTACGAGACCAAACTGTGTATTTTGTTAATTGTAAGCGGATTCCGCAACAAGAACCCTCCCTTTGTTCTTCCTTTGTTGTTTTATCCTTTCTGATTATTCCGAAAAACTTTAATATGTTTAAAAACTTGTCTCTGCAATCCAGGAACGTACAAACACAAAATTGGGCGCCTATCCAGTGCATAGCTTGGCCTCGTAAGAATAGTGTTTTTGAAAACAACATGGAGGCCAATTTCCTACTAAATCAGTTTTGGTTGACCAAACTTTAAAATTTTCCAAATGCTTCTATGGCACTAAAAACTTACCGGCTCCCATTTTGGTAGATCTAACCTTGGTCGACGAAGACACTGAGCACAGTGGTATGGCGTTCACTTTGATATGATAGTTGCTGAGATCAATGATAATTCGCCAATTACAGTTTGTGAGGACCAACTCTCACTCAACCTCTAGCTTCAGGTATACCACAGCTTTACGAATTTTGGCTGCAACGTGACACCACGTGGAACAAAAAAAAACGCGGAAAAAACGGTGAAATCATAAAAAAAGCCTGTTTAGTCCTACTGATAACAATTCACTGGAATCGCAATTAATATCAACGTACCTTCCACCTGAGTGTTGTCCCCACCACCAAAAAAAATTTTTTGATCAAAACATCCGAAGAGTTCTCTAAGACAGCATTTTTGGCCATTTTTCTAAATGCGCCTATGAATTCGAAAACGATGACAAAATAAGGCCTTGTGCTTGGAAGACCTTGAAAAATCAATACGGTCGAGCGAAAAATGTCGATCAGTTTTTTTTGAAAATTCGCCACCTCGAGAAAAAGCTAGATCCGGCTCTGGTTGGAGATATATTTTACTAGGATAATGAGAAGCAGCACAGATGATTAGATTTTGTATCTTGCTTTGATAACCCTCGTCAGATCAATTTGTAGCAATCGCAGCCCTAATTTGGTAACAAAGTGATGGCTGAATCATTCAACAAGGAGGAAACTATTTGACCTTTTACCTTATGAGTTACTTCTATTGTCTCGCATACAATAGAGGCAAAATTACAGACAAAACTTTTGGCTGAACCCATTTTGAAAACGTTTATGCCTAAATTAAGTGATCATACCACTGTTAAAAAAATTGAACAAATTGAGTGAAACTTTAAACAATGTCAGCTCAATCTTTTCACTTAACGTAAGTATAAGCTATATACTCACCTCAACTAGTTTCAAAAATTGATTACCCCCGTAAATTATGTAGATTTCCTTTACAAATAAAACCCCATTATGAAGTTTTCTGAATAAAACTTTCTTTTAAGGGCTGAAGAGAAGAAAATTGTGACTGCTCTTCTGGGACCAAGTCGGAAAATTCTAGCCAGTGCCATTGCTCGAGTGTTCGTCTCTGATGCGCTCGAATGGCAAAAACTAGGCTGCGGTGTGCTGAGCCTCGTTAAAGACGCAATCCGAAAGAGCTACTACTTCTCATTTGTAAACACAACCCAAGGAATTGAGTTAATGTGTGAAGAAATGTATTCTGAGTTCACTTACGAAAGACCAAGAGATTTGTTTGTCCATTTCGAGGGTGAAAAAAGCGTAATTGGTGTTAGTTTTTTTGATTTGACTGAAACCCATCTTTTCTGTCAGATATTAGACGAAGAAATCTCGAGAAAAGGGCAAATAAGATCGGAAAAGCAAAACAATGAGCCAAGTTTAGGATTTGCAGAGTCTAAAAACTCACTAATTTATTCGCGCGAAAGTGCCATTGTTGAAGGCAAAAAGCACAATATGTTGATAAAACCACCTGCATATATTCCGAAATCTCCACAATGCAATGCCAAAGACGGTAAATTTCAAAAGTTTAAAGACAAGTTGATAAAGCGTAACGATAACTCGGAGATGAAGAAGTTGATTAGTCAACCATATCAATTTCGACACGCAGCTACTGGATCAGATGTTACCACGAAGGTCCAGAAATTGGGTTCAAACAAAACAAAAAAGTTCACTTCAAAAAAGGATGCCGATAAAATATCTGAGGCTGTTGTAGCTTACATTTGGCCGCAAAGGGATTGCTCAGAATACGACGAACAAAATTTGAAAAACTTGGTAAAGGAAAAATTACAAAGTGATGATAAAAAAGAATGGAATACTTTTGCAAAAATAGCGCTTGAACCAGGAGTTAAACGTGCATCTAGAAAGGGAATCTCTGAAACTGTTTCAAATGCTGAAGATCTTGGCAAAAAAGATAATTCACAATGGAAACTAGATACCGATGATGAGCAATCAGATAGCTCAATGCGTCAAGATATTTACGCAACAATTAGATCAGCACATTCTGAAAACGCGTTTCCAGTTTTAACTGAAAGAAAATTTATGGTCCACACACCATCTCCACCGCCGACACCGAAACAAAGAAAAAACGTCACTACTTGTTCAGCTGATTCAAAAAAGTTGACCGCGCAAACTTCAAAGAAAGATAATCCTTTGAGTAATGGTAATTTTGAGATGTTTGGTAACATGAGAAGTTATGCACGAGACAGATTGAGTAAACTTGAACTTGAGGAAAAAATTGGTTCCTGTGACACTGAAAGTAGTTTTTTGACATTGATGGATCAGGTGAATAAGCTGGACGACGACATGGAAACCTTGTCAACTGATGAAGGTGAAATAGACTTCAGGTCGTGGAATTAGCCCAAAGGAGCATTTCAGGAGAGAATTTCTTTGTTTCTATAACTCAACGAGAGCTTTGATTTTTATAAAACTTATGGATATGTGGAAAATATTTCTCATGTGAGTCGCTTATTGTTTTAATTATAATTTTATTGCAAGCAGTATCAAAATTACTTGTGTGAATATTATAGACTTACAATAAAGTGCATCAGTTTATGATTTTAAAACAGGATTTTTAAGCAGCATAAAAGCAAGCACAGCAGATTTACAGAATTGATCGTGGCGCTATCAATCCAGAAAGTTTGGTTCGATGCGACCCCTGGGACTAGAAGTTTGTTCACACCTCTAAGACTTCCATTGTTGGCATTGGGTGTTATGTTTAACAGGTGCGCAACTAGGGGCATTACATCTACGAGCTGTATTTGGGGGCTGGTGTGGTTGTAGTTCTCTTTGAAAGATCTTCCGCTGGCGATGAAAATTGGGTGCATATCCTTTCGTTCGGGATAGTAACCGTGATTTCCCCGAATCTGTTTCCCCTCGTCTTCGTCTTCTTGGTCGATAAACTCGTAGTGAGGTTCCGCAATCAACATCAAAGGGGGACACCGAATGCTCTTTTTGAAGTGCAATCTGTCTGGCAAATCTTCTTTGCGAGTCACTTTAAAACCCTTCGGGTATCTTTTTCGGATCTTGTCTATAGCGGCCATAAGTTTGGGTTCCATGCTGGGGTCTTTATATGGCCATATATGGACTATGTTACCGCGATTCACTACTTCTTTCGCGACTGACTTATTGATGTCGTTGTCCAAAACAATGGTCTTGTTTATCGAAAGCATACCGTGGTCCGAGGTTATTATCAAATCTATGTAAATATTGTAGAAATTCCTAAGAGTTGCAAGCCGATCGACCAAATATTCTAATTCATTGTCGACTTCTTTGAGAACATCTTTCATTTCTTTGCCGTCCGGGCCATATTTATGGCCGGCATAGTCAACTTTATAATAGTAAAAGAAAACAGCTTCAGCTGGTTTCTTTGATTCCTTTGAAGAGTCAACATTTCTTCGTCCTTTACTACTCTTCGGCTTCATGAACATATCGACTGACTTGTCAATCAAGTCGCGAAATGTGTAGTCCCGGGACCATTCGACGAAGTGACTCGGTTGTTGTTCTTTCACGTCGCAGCCAGCAATACTGACACACCCACTAGGCACGCCCTGATCTTCGGCAACTTTCCAAATTGGCGTGGACCAATTCCAAAATTTCTCATCCGTCGTCCATTTATAAAAGGTATCGTTCAATTCGGGCGCGAAAAATGTGTTGCCGACAATTCCGTGGGACTCTTCGTATAGTCCAGTTAGTAGAGATCGATGGCTGGGGAATGTATTAGTCACCCAATTGTTCATCAGGCCATTGTGAACAAACACGCCATTTTGGGCTATTTTATGCAAATTGGGCAGTTGCTCTTTATGCATGTAAAAGTAGTCCCATCTGAAACCGTCCAGCGAAAGAAGGAGAACTTTGGTTGAGTAAATTTCTAGGAAGGAAAGAAAAATAGATAAAATTTGTAAATTAAGCATTTTTATGAGAACTTTGTAAAAGAAGCAGAAGTTCGAACTTATTTCAAATTGAATTCGAAAACAATCTTTGTCGGGCAACACTTTATTCGAAACAAATGTGTTCTGCTCCAGTGAAATGAAGTATTTCAAGGAAGTCAGGCAGTTTATTTTGATGGAAAATAACCGATTCAGATAAAGTCCATTTAAAATAGAAGCTTTTGTAATTTTCTTCCTGGGTAAAATGGACACAGGATTTCAATGCAACATATATAGGAGGGACTGACTTCTTGACGTAAAAGAATTGTATTGCTCTAAAATTTTGCCTCCAAATGGAGCATATTCTTTTTTGATGACGTGAAAGAAATGCAGGCTTTTTTTACAGCGCTGTTGGTAAAATTTTACGCAATCTAAGACGTGAAGAATTGGCCACAGCACACGGAATAAAAATCAGCCTTTTCCCACTTTTCGCTTGCCTGAAGTCCCATTTTATATGCAAATACACTTCGCGTTGAGCTGATTTGTCTTATATATACTGTAGCTGCTCGAGAAATGCTTGAAGAACAACAAATCTAAAGGGGATTTATGCTCGAATGCACTCGAGTAAATGATTACAAAATTACAGAAGGTTTTGAGTTTCAAAATTGGCAGATATCTCGAAAGTAAATTGTTTGACCTGAGTTTCAAATACGTCGGGAGTCCACTCTCTAATCTGGTAAATTGTAGAAAGACAAGCAGTTGCGTCCTGTCTATTTTAAGGTTTGATTTAGCTAATAACATTTGGTGGCTTTGCAGCCATAACAATAGACCTTAAGCGTACTCAGATGAGTCACTAGCGTTTTTGGAAAATATAATTGGTGTGTTAGGCAAAGATCTCGGCTTTTCTCGGGGCTTGTGGAATTTGAAAGATGTTTTCAATATTTCGTAGACCTCATTTAGATCGACCCAGGGGCGGATCTTGGAGTTTTCTAATGCGGGCGTGCCGGATTTTCGAAACATTGTAATAGATCAAATTGATGACTACAAGCTCTCCGAAGAAACTATAAAGCCTGTTTTTTGATAAATAATATTTGCCGCAAGTTTCCGAAAAAGTATTTTGTCATCAATTGGATATTAAAAAGAAAACAAGAATGCTCGTATCAGGGCGAAGCCCTGAAAGTTCCGACTGCCTCTCTCGCTCCTTGTAACAAATCAATTATGGCAAATAAGCTTCTTTCAACCAATTTGGAACGATTTCTAAGACGAATTAAATCTCCGCTTAAGTGTTAATAGCGCGACTTATATCGCGCGTTAATTGCCCCAAATTGGCCAAAATGGCAATCTTTAAACCCTCACGAAAAATGATAACAGGTGAAATATCTTTTCAAATTTAAGCTCAGGACAACAATAGCTTTCGAATGATATTTAAAAATTCTGTCAAAAATGGCTAGTTGAAAAGTCGATATTTGTCTGAAGAAAAAAAAGCCATCCCGAGCACGAATATTCCGTTACTTTCGTATCGAAAGTCGGAACAAGAAAAGTGGACATTTTGAATGGGGAGGGAGTCGAACTCTCGAGAGAACGAAGCGTGCGCCATCACCGCGCGTGACCCCAAAACTTAGCCCCAGCGTCGACCAATTTGATCGTCCGAGAATTCCTAAAACACTTAGAACCCAATTTTGGACAAAACAGAGTGCCACAAGTAATGTCTCGGTTTGACCTCCATACACCGAAAAGTCTTCTCATACAATTCCATACATCAAGTGCATGAAAAAACGCTTGTCATACACTTTTCTTACAATTTCGAAAAATGGTTGAAAAAAAATATAAACTAAATTCTGCGTCTGTTTGATTCTAATAAAACAGTCTGGTGATGAAAAACCGAGGTTTTTGTTTTTTGAAAAAAAATGCTTATTATACAATTCGATTTTTCCAAATCAATTTTTGGAATCATACTCATCTGGTTTTGGATACATTTTTGTAAACGATTTTGGATACATTTTTGCTCAATCATACAGTCAATTTTTCCAATTTTCTGAGATAAAAAAGTCCCTTTATTTCAAACTATTTTGTGTAATTTACCGTTTCCAGGGCTGAGAGATGTAACAATTCTCATGTTTTTAAATTCATTTTTATACAACTTAAAATGAATCCCCAACCCCCCACTAGGAATCAGTTGTTCAAACTCTTATACTTTTATGTATAAACAAATGTCCAACTGTATTATTAATATCTTTTACTAATTATTGTTCCGACTTTCGATACGAAAGTAACGGAATATTTGTGCTCGGGGTGAGTTTTTTTTCTTCAGACAAATTTCGACTTTATAACTAGCCATTTATGACGGATTTTTTTATATCATTCAAAAAGTATTGTTGTCCTGAGCTTAACTTCGAAGGAATATTTCCCTTGTGATCATTATTCGTAAAGTTGGATATTTATAGAATGCAATTTTGGCCAATTTGGGATAATTAACGCGCGATATATTTGGCGCTATTAACGCGTAAGCGGAGATTGAATTCGTCTCACAAATCGTTCAAAATTGGTTGAAAGAAGCTTATTTGCCATAATTGATTTGTTCAAAGGAGCCAAATCGATCCTTTTGTACTTTATGTGGCGTGTGGGGTAATAAATTTTATAAAAAATTTCAAATTTTAGAAAAAAAAATAATTTCATTTTTTTTACATTTAATTTTTTTAATGTTATTACTGCTTCATAAATCTTAAAAGATAGTGGGAACATTTAGGGCTTCGCCTTGATACGACCAGTCTTGTTTCTTTTGATTCTAAGGCAAATCAAAAAGATCTATAAAATAGTGAGAGTTATAGCTCAAACATAAAATTACTTAGAAAAATAAGACCTGCTATATGATCAAGCCCTAGTTTTTCTTAGTACACAGCGCCAAGAATAAGGCAATAAAATGATGAGATAAACATTAAGTGAAATCAAACGACACCTTTTCGTGGTAATTAGAATATGAAACCCAATAGCAAGCCTTTAAAAATACATCAGAAATGGAGTTTTTAGCTATGAATTTTGCATCATAACTTGGTTGTGAAATCCGATACGAAATGACTGCCATCGATTAAGAGCTAAAAAGCAAAAAATGTAGCGAAATATTTAACAAGACTGCTCGTATCAGGGCGAAGCCCTGAATGTTCCGACTGCCTTTTAAGGTTTATGGAGCAGCAGTAATAACATAAAAAACTAAATGAAATAAAATGAAATGAAAATTTTTTTTCTAAAATTTGAAACTTTTTATGAAAATCATCCCCCCACACGCCATATAAAGTACAAAAAGATAGATTTCGTTCCTTGTAACAAATAAACTATGGCAAATAAGCTTCGTACAACCAATTTGAAACGATTTATAAGACGGATTAAATCTCCGCTTACGCGTTAATAGCGCGAATTATATCGCGCGTTAATTGTCCTAAATTGGTCAAAATGGCCAAAATGTCAATCTTTAAACCCTCATAACTTTACGCAAAATGATCACAGGTGAAACATCTTTTCAAATTTAAGCTCAGGACAACAATGGCTTTCGAATGATCTAAAAAATCCGTCAAAAATGGCTAGTTAAAAAGTCGAAATTTGTCTGAAGAAAAAAAAACCCACCCGAGCACAAATATTCCGTTACTTTCGTATCAAAAGTCGGAACAATTATCTCCAATTATTCTCTAGAGGTTGCTAGCGTGATCAAACTGAACACTCCAAAAACATTATTGAAACTTCAAGCTCGATGGAACAATAATGGTCTAATTTGTTCTGCTTTGTGCTATTTGTGTTCAGTGTGAACAAAGAGGTTCAGTGTGCGAAAATGCAAAACTTTTGTTAATTTCACCATACTTGTGGAATCATTTTCTTTTTTTGAACAAAAGTAAGATTAGGTCATTGAGGCATATACTCTGAACCAAATTTGGTATAGACATCTCACAAAATTATTTGGGAAGCAAGTATTATTCACATCTGGGAATTTACTTCTTATCCAGGATTTTTAAATAGTTTTGCATTAAAAATTATGTCCGTTCTGTAAATCTATTACCACAGCGTAAGCTAGGATTACTTGAAAAATTTTATCAATGAAAAAAGTAAGTTCTTAAATATACTTATTATAACGTGTAAGAAAATCATAATTATTCATTTTTTAATAATCTTTAAGTTCATAGTTATTACGTATCTATTTTGGATTAGTTTTTACAAAAATTTAGGCAAAATTAACCAATTTACATATTTTTTGTTAAACATTTAAAGTAAATAGAAGTCACATTGTTCAAACTTGGTTTTTCTGCATTTGAATTTATATGGGGTTGGAGACTGCTGATGATCGAGCTTCAAGCACATCAATTGAGGGCATCAAATCAAAACGGATTCAAACAAGCAGAAATATTTTTGCACCTGAAAAAACCTCCAGCAGGGAAAAAATCTGGTTAAACAAATTTGGACATGGCTAACAGAAAAGTGGAGGTATGAAAATTGCTTCTTTCATATCAGATCTAATGCAGGTACCAACGATACAACTATTACAATACCAGGTAAAAATTTTGCGGGTAAGAAAACTAACTTCAAATTGTTTTTGCGAGCAATGGACGTTTCATTTCTGCTCCTATTGAATAAAAACGTCATATAAATCTAAAAGAGCGTGGGCTGCTCAATCGTGTTTGAAGCTTTCTCGATCATTCTTTTATGTTAGGCATCAGCCTACGCAAAACTTGAGGAAAAATTTTGGGACGAAAAAAGTTCGAAATCAAAGATAAAAACGCCAAAAACAGTAGTTAATGGCAATTTATTATTAAAATTGATTGCAGTCCATGAAATCTTGGTAAATAAAATATTTCTTTTAGTCAGCAAGGCCCATGTTTATTAAAATTAGTTTGGAGCTTCCTCAAATTCGAAAAAGGAAATTTTTGCACGCTCAATCTACTTCGTCTAAAATTTTTGTTTACAACAACGATATTTTTCAAAGAATTGTCTAATAAAGGTGTTTATTTTTTTTTCGGCTAGTCAATTTTACTGTAAAAGACTCATTAAAAACTGTTTTTGGCATTAAATACTGTCTTTGGTTATAAGAATGCACCTCTTGAATTTAATAATTTCTTCAACCCATAAAAAACTTACAATTATTCTTTAAGTAAAGTATAACCCCGCACTATTAGAAGACAATTTTTTGCTTAAACATAATTGATTGAGCCGTGGAAAAACGCCGAACATAACAAAAAAGGATATCCGGTTGCTGCGCAAGTAATACAGGTTATACAGATATTATTCAAAAAAAAAATTCTCACTCCATTGTGCTTACTGCAATTTTAATGTTCAAAATGGTGTAGAAATTGGACCAATTCTTCATAAGGACCCATTTTATTTTTTAAAATTTCAGATAAAAAACTCAAAAAATGATAAAGTTCCGCAATTTGAATCAAAATTTTCCAAAAAAATTGAAAGTGGATTTAGAAAAGAGCAGTTTATGTTTTGTTTTCTAAATTCTATTCAGTGATTTTTTTGGAAATTAGATAGCTGTTTTTCATTCAGTTTATTCAGTTTCAAAATCTTATTTTCTCGTGGAAAGCTTTAGTTTTTAAGTTATATATAAAAATTAGCTGAGAAAACTGGGCCAGGTAACTTATTTATGACAGAACTTTGAAATTTACCAGCAGAAAATCTATTGTTCTTCCGAATTTTTAAAAAAGA